CTTTCACTTGTTTAAGCTCATATTTTCTGTGGTTACTTCTTTTGTGCTCCTAAGTGAAGAAAAAATATAAAAAAAAAAAAAGAAAAAGTCAAAGAATCCTAAAAAAACAACGACAGCCAAAAAATAGAGAGAAAAGAGAGGAGTAAAAGTGGAACAATATATAGAGGAGCACATAGAGAGCGTCATTTGAGCTGTGTTTGCGTGTGTTGATTTCTGTTTTGTTCCTAATCATATTCCTACTGTTCACATCACTTGATATATCTGGTACTTGGAACGTTAATAGGCCAGCAACTAAGACAAGTACTCGGGATACTTATTCAGCTTTGCTATTCAGTTGCGAATATTGTTATTCCTTGCTACTATATTGTGCCTGTCCAAGCTCCACTTCCTTCTAACCAAGTACAGGTTCGCCTTACAACTGTTACACTCAAGGTACAATGATATCACAGTCACCGACCAATTGCACCGCCTGTTGCTTTGGTAAGAACACTTGTAAGACCGTGGTAAGACGCTTGAGAGTTGAGTGCCTTGTTTTTCCTTGTCTACATCCTATAGTAGCTGATAGGAAAATACATACTTGTGTGTTTTCTTGTTTGATTCTAACAATGATAGGTTGTTCGTATCCACCGACTTATGATGGTATAGGTGCTGATGAGTACATGGAGTGGGAAATTACCATAGATAACATATTTGCTACTCGCTTTATGTGTCCAAGGAGGAAGGTAAAAAATACAGCTAGTGTTTTGCGACATTCTACTTTATCTTGGTGGGAGTCTTTAGATCCTTCTAATAAACCTCAAACTTGGAATGATATGAAACTCCTTATGCGAGAAATCTTTGTTAATCCACCTCCTATTTTAACTTCATATGCTGAGGTGTACCATTTAGAGGAAGAGTCTATTGTTATTCCTCTTGCTATGACTAACCTTCTGCAGGATAATGTACATAAGCGAGAGGATGACATGGAAGAAAATGAGGAGCTCACAACCTCATATGCAAATTTAAAACCATCACTTCACAATGCACCTATTACTCCTGCTAAGAACACCGGTAACGCCCATGGTGCTACTCTCACGGAAGGTGAGAACTGTTTTAATGTACTAAAATTTTCCACAAACCATGCTATCATAGAGCAATTGTTAGTGAAACCCTCTCTTGATTTATCTTTGTCCCATGATAATTTGCTTGATGTTCTTTGTGATAAAGATGAATTGGTTGATGATGCTTTAGTTTTACATGTTTTAGAACCACTCACTTGTGCTGAAAATAAACAAACTGATGAGCTCAAACTATTGTCTTCTTTACATACTTTGGGTTACATTGAATCTGATGTTTTGTGTAACCTAGATTGTTTGGAGGAGAGCCTTTTTAAATATGCTGATTTGTCTTGGTTTTCTAAACACACATATTATGTTATTGGCAAATATAACAGCAAAGGACAATATATGATACATCTAGTATACGTTCGTAGTAATATGAATTCTCCTTTTGTTATACAAGATTATGAACGTTTAGAGGGTAGCCATAATAATACAAACATTTTCTCATGTTCTTCAAAGAAACAAGTTCACTTCCAAGAATGGGACCATTGTTGGTTGCTACCTATATCTGCTAGACCATCTATTTCTGCATTGTTTTTGGTTAGTTCTAATCTTTTGCAGGATAGTATTGACATACAACGTGTGCATTCAAATCATGGAGTCTACATGCATGTTGAAATTTTTATGCGAGATGACACGCTAGAAACTTGGAAACATGGTCACATTCCTTCTCACAATTATTTCAGTTCCCTTTGTCTTCGCAACCTCGTTCTCCGTTGTGTTGTGCAGGATCAGTTTCAAGCACAATCGACGCCGATGACGGCTTTTCATCAAGAAAGGGAGGATGATAAGGACATGAGCTCCAAGCATACGACCATGCTTGGAGATAGAGGACGAGGAGATCAGCAAGGGTGTCCTAACTGAGAAGGAGGCCCGAAGCTCATCCGATTCGAGTCACCGAGGTGGAGGCCCAAATCAAGTTCGAGCCCATCTCGGGTTCCAGGACCAGTCTGCCTTAAACTGGTCACCCAGGACGCATCCGGACTCTGTTTTCGACGATCCACATATGGATGGAAAGCTAATTTGATAAGAAAGCCAATGCAAGTGGTATCACATAAAAAGCCCTTCGGAATCAATGGAAATCGTTGAAACAAGTCAGCGTCCAGAATCTGCTAGAGTGCTGCGACACCGTCTTTTGGTCCATTGGACCGTGTATCGTGTTTGGGCCCATTAGGGGGCGCGTCCAGGGGGGTGACGCCCAAGACTCTATAATTAGCAGCCGTCGCTCTCCTTAGGGTTTGGGTTTTGTTTAGTTCTTGATTTCCTCGTGAAACAGACATCGTTTTGCTGCAACTGTGCCGCCAAGGCTGCTTGTTGTGAACCAGGGCCCCGGTTCTTGATCTTGTTCGCCTATGGCGATTAGTCCTTTCGAATAAAGACCTGAACTCCTCGTTATCATAAGCCTCATATTTATTTGCAATTTCAGATTGTGTTCATACCGTTCTTGCTTGTGTTCTCGATTCGCTTGTAGGAAAGCCTTCTTGGCGAGGTCAATCGCGTTCGCGTGATTGATAACCAACGGAGCAGTGGTGTAACGGTTGCGGGGGTCCGAATCAGTCTTGGTTCGAAGCCTAGATCATGAACGTCGAGTCTCCACCAATCGACGCTATCGTACCTATCAAAGATCAGGCCTTGTCTACATCAATAGGGGGTATCATCAGCTGACAAATCTGTGACTAGTCTACCTTGAGCCGTCATAGCATGTAAAATCTTAGTTCGTACTGGTAATGGCATACCATGAACAGGTACTAGCATGGCATCAACCGATGTGGACATAGCATGTCTACCTCCCGGGTCATCATTTGAATCACTGCTAACTACATCATCGATCATGTCCTCCTCCTCCTCCTCTTTCCGTTCGAACTCATTTACATCGAAGTCATTGTTTATACAACCTACTTGACTTGAATGAAACTGCTCCTGCGTCAACTGACCATCCAAATCCATAGTACCCATAGTTGGTTCCACATGAACCCCACATTCTTATTGAGTATCATCATCGAAGGACGATCCCTCCTGGAGATCATGCATCCTGTACCCATTCTCCACAATCACCTTAGCCAAGGCCATATTGGAACCTTGGATTATCCTATTGTAGAGGGACCAGTGAGCATGGTCCCGCAAGGGCATCAACACGTAGTGTGACCTAGTCTTTCCACTATCAAACCTCTCATTCAGTGTATAATCACCGCCAAACTTTCCATTCAAACAGCCACAAAGATCGCTGAAGGTAGGAGGTTCATCAAACCATTCCAATTCTTCTTTCATATCCTCAAACATACCATCTTCTCTCCTAACACTTTCTTCGTAGAAAACTCTAACACAACAATATATCTACAAAAGCATTTCAGAAACTTCATTAGGTCATCGAAATCGTCGTGCGTACTAACTAACTGACTACACCTATACCAACTAACTATACTAACTAATCTAATATTAATACCTATACAAACAATTCTAAGTAACTATACTAACTAACTACACTAAACACACTAATATTAATACCTATACTTACTATACTAAGTAACTTTACTAACTATACATATCTAGCTAACTGCAAAACTAACTGCAAAACTATACATAACTTATATTTCCTAACTTCACTAAACAACTTTGCTAACTAATTATATAAACCTCTATCCAGTCAAACTAAATTTGAATCCTAACCCTAGCAAAAAAATTGACAGAGATGCAGAAGAGCATTACCTCGACAAAGATTATGGGTCACCACAATCCACCAATGGAAAGAAGATGGCCGGCGGCAATCCCCCTTTCTGGAGGACGACAATGGGTAGCACAACAATGTCCTTCACGGCTCGAGACAGTGCGAAGAGATGGAGGGACGACGACGAGGACGGGCGACGCGCGACAGTGGGGAGATGGAGTGAGGAAGGACGGGCACATGGTGGCCGGGAGCGCCGGGCGGGGCGCGGCAGGCGCGCTGGGCGGGGCGCGGCGGGAGGGAGTCGCGGCGGCGCGTTTTCTAGTCTAAGGACGGAGACACTAAGAGAGGGAACAAGGGGCCTGCCGTGCCATGATGCGTGGTGCGGCAAGCCCGCCGCGCCGTGATGGGTGGCGCGTCAGACCTGCCACGTCAGCGGTCGCCGCAGCCGTTGGTTGCCCCCTGCCGCGTCGTGCAAATAGGCGCGTCCGAAAGTGTTAGTTTTGAAAAAAATTTAAACAATGTCAATTTGGAAAATAGTTTGAAAAAAGTGTTAAAAATAAAAAAAATGCTACATGGCTACGTGTGAGATTATTTAGTTCGATTGGATCAATGAGTTTTTCCTGGCGCGAGAGATAATAATTGCGACCCAAGACATTTTATTTTATTTTTTACTTTGGTACAATAGATTAGTTATAGTTACATGTGCTACAAAATTTTACTTAGGAGGGGACATCTTTTGATCATTCTAGCTCAAGCAAGTCCTCAACGAGTGCTCATGGTTAAAAGGAACATATATCATGGCGGATGGGGGCGACTTGCGTGACATTTTGCATTGCACACAGAGAGCAAGGACGCCGTTGACTCCAGAGTTGACCCATCTTCCCCGGCCGACTGCATCTGCAAACGGCAGGAACCCAGCCGGCCAGCCCGAGTCGGCGAGTCAGGCCGTCGTCAGGCGGGAAGCGTTCTGCTCTTCTCGTAAACAGGAAACTCGCGAGCCCCGACCAATAGGAAGCCGAGGTCCAGCCGTAGTGGCGTCGATTTCGATTAACCCGAGCCGAGCAGGCGCAAATCCGGTGTCACCGAAGCCCATCTCCCATCTCCAGCAAATTTACTCTTCTTCCTCCTCGTCGCATTCCTCGTCCGGATCTCCAATTCTCCCGTCCCGTGCGCCTCCGCCCCGGTCTCATCCCTCCGCTCCAGATCTGCGCGCCGCCACCGGATCCGCAGCCGGCATGGAGGAGACGCCGCCGGCGCACGCGTCTCCTCCGTTCGCCCCGGCGCCCTTCACTCCGCCGCCGCGCGTCTTCTCACCCGGCCTCGCCGCCGCGCGGGGCACGCCCAGCCCCGGCTCGGGGCCCAGCCCCGCGACGGCGCACCTCAGCACGCCACCCGGCCCGCCCGTCTTCTCCTCGCCGCTGCGCCCCGCGGCCGTGCCGTTCCGCGCCACCCCGGCCTCGCCCCACCCCGTGCCCTTCGCCGCCTCGGGGGGCTACTCATCGTCGTCGTCCGCCACTGCCGCCACCACCGCCTCCCTCCCCACCTCGTCGGCGCCGCACTTCCTCAACGGCGCTGCCACGCCTCACGGGGACCACGCCCCCGCGCCGTCACCGCTCCAGGGGGACGGCCTCGACAACCCCTATGTACAGTTCTCCGCAAACAAGGTATGGTTAGCCCCGATGCAGCCATGATCACCCTTCCTTCTCCTACACCTCAACTGTGGTGTGTCCAAATAAGCACAGTACCATTTGGATCGGATCACAAATCCATCCCCGTTCATGGCATGCCTCCACACGCACACCCATTCACAAGGTTTTGAAAGCCAGCGCTGATTCTGGTCGGCCTTTTGCTATTGTAGGTGTTGAAGCAGAAGAAGCTGCTCAATGCCCCTAGCTTGGGGTTTGGAGCTCTGGTTTCTCCAGGGAAGGAGGTGTCCACTGGCCCAGAGGTTGTGGAGCGTGATCCACGCCGTTGCCTGAACTGCGGGGCATATGTGAACTTGTACTGTGATGTCCAGATCGGCTCCGGGCAGTGGCAGTGTGTCATTTGTAAGAAGCTCAATGGCAGCGACGGGGAATTTGTGGTCTCCAGCAAGCAGGACCTGCTCCATTGGCCAGAGCTCGCATCCACGACTGTGGATTATGTGCAGGTGGGGAACAAGCGGCCAGGCTTTGTCCCGGTGTCCGACACAAGGGTGTCCGGCCCCATTTTTATCCTCATAGATGAATGCCTAGATGAGGCGCACCTGCAGCATCTCCAGGGCTCCTTGCATGCCTTTGTGGATTCGCTCCCTCTTACCGCAAAGATAGGAATAATCACCTACGGGAGAACTGTCTCAGTGTATGATTTCTCAGAGGGGGCAGCAGTGTCAGCGGATGTGCTACCTGGAAACAAGTCGCCTACCCATGAGTCTTTGAAGGCTCTAATCTATGGGACGGGTGTTTACCTGTCTCCTATACATGCTTCGCTACCTGTTGCACACACAATATTCTCATCTCTGAGACCCTATCAGCTGAGTGTGCCAGAAGTGTCAAGGGATCGGTGCGTTGGAGCAGCAGTAGAGGTTGCCCTTGGTATTATTCAAGGGCCATCAGTGGAGTTGTCTCGTGGAATCATCAAGAGATCAGGTGGCAACTGCAGGATCTTGGTATGTGCTGGTGGCCCTAGCACCTTTGGACCTGGATCAGTGCCTCATTCGGTTAAACATCCGAACTATGCTTATCTGGAGAAGACAGCTATGAAGTGGATGGAGAGTCTTGGTCATGAAGCACAGAGACACAGTACTGTCGTTGATATCTTTTGTGCTGGACAATGTCCTGTGAGGGTCCCTGTTCTGCAACCATTGGCAAAGTGTTCTGGAGGTGTGCTCTTAGTTCATGATGACTTTGGAGAGGCCTTTGGGGTCAATTTGCAAAGGGCATCAACTAGAGCAGCTGGTTCCCATGGCTTATTCGAGATCAGGTGTTCAGATAACATGCTTGTTACTCAAGTTATTGGCCCTGGTGAAGAGGCGTCTCCTGATTCTCATGAAACATTCAAGCATGATAGTTCATTTTGTATCCAGATGCATAGTGTTGAGGAGACGCAGAGTTTTTCTGTGTCTATGGAGACAAAGGGTGATATCAAAAGTGATTTTGTTTTCTTTCAGTTTGCAGTCCATTATTCCAATATATATCAAACAGAAATCACTCGGGTGATCACTATGAGGCTGCAGACAGTTGATGGTTTGTCTGCATATCTGGCAAGTGTGCAGGAGGATGTTGTGTCGGTTATCATTGGTAAAAGAACCGTATTGCGTGCCAGGACTGCCTCTGATGCTATTGATATGAGGCTCTCAATTGATGAAAGAGTAAAGGACATAGCTCTCAAATTTGGTACTCAGGCCCCAAAATCAAAGCTTTACCGCTTCCCAAAAGAACTAGCATCACTCCCAGAGTGTTTGTTTCATCTGAAAAGGGGACCACTTTTAGGTAGCATAGTTGGGCATGAAGATGAAAGATCTGTACTTAGGAATTTGTTCCTGAATGCGTCGTTTGACCTTTCGCTCCGTATGCTGGCACCTCGGTGCATAATGCATCGTGAAGGTGGTACATTTGAGGAGTTGCCAGCATATGATCTTGTCATGCAATCTAATGCTGCAGTGGTACTGGACCATGGAACAGATATTTTCATTTGGTTGGTATGTTACTTACTCCTTTCACATTTGACTTCAACTCTTCCACATAGTTATCGTTTATGAATCTTGATCCTTATTGTTCCCTGCATGCACTGTATCTGTTAGGATGCCTTTGTTCTTGATTGTCATATTTGAACCGTTTACATGTCCTGTAAGATGAACAAAAATGAAAATGGGAACTTGCATCAGGGTTATGTGGTTAATGCAACAAGTACTTAAGAATCCGAAGTTCCGAACCACAGTGTGTGAATGTAATGTAAAAATGAAGGGACTGAAATTATTGAATTATCACCGATAGATACCCAAAACATAGGAAACTAGTTCATACTTAGAAACTAAAAAAAACGTATATGAGTTTATCTGAGACTTGGACTTATCAAAGATTTATTTTTGAATCATTTTTGACATTTCCTTTATAGCTTGTTTGTTTATTGCCAAAGAACAATATTTTTATATAAACACCATTGCTTTGTCTTTTCAGGGTGCTGAGCTAGCAGCCCAAGAAGGACAAAGTGCAGCAGCTTTAGCAGCATGCCGTACTCTGGCAGAAGAGCTCAGCGAGCAACGTTTTCCAGCTCCCAAGATACTATCATTCAAAGTCAGTTTGCTTGTTCTCATTCTTCACTGTTACTTCTAGCTATTTTTTCTCATGATATCTGGGCAAATTTGGATGTGAGCACACTTTTATAGCGCCCTAACCAGAATACATCTAATATTTACTATTTCAGCAATAGATTTATTGTCTTAACTAGTGTAGGCCATGTCTGGTGGATTGCAACTTATGATTATAAATTTTGGTGCTCGACTATTGCTACGTATGTTCACTTCCATTTGAATCTTTAGTTTGCTTTGTAGTGCTTAATAATTTTTGCTTTGAAGTGCTTAATAGTTTATATGACATTGGACTGAAGATAACTGTGGCATGGGAGTTTTCTTAGTACCAATGTGGAAAAATCTTTCAAATTATTGAGTCTTTTAATACTTTCTCAATCAAGTAAACTAGAGTGAAAGATCACTTGCACAGAGCACGCTTTCCTTTTATAATTGACTGTTCTTTCTTATATTTCGGCACAGCAAGGAAGCTCTCAGGCTAGATATTTTGTCTCACGCCTGATCCCAGCTCACAAGGACCCTACATATGAGCAGGTATTTTCTTCCTGTGACATTACAATTTCGTTCATCTGAATTCACCGCACCTATGTGGTCTAAATGGAAACGGGTTGTCCTGCTGCAGCCCAGTTTGTTAACAGATGAACTTTTGTGTGTTTCTGTCAAGGGCCGTATGTGGAATGGTGGCCGGACCTCGACTACGGAGCTCGTAGTCGCGCTCCGTGGTACTTCGGCGGGGTTATGCCCCCTCGCCGCTCACACTCGTCGGGTTATACCCCCTGACTCGTGGCTTAGGAGAAGGAGGAGGAAGATTAGATGTAAACTCTTTCTTGATTGCAATTGTCCTCTCGTACATGCATATATGGCCGATGGCCCAGCTAAACATGGCAACAAACTAAAGGAAACAACTCCTTAATTCTAGGATCTCATAACAGAAACTATCCTAACCTCCCATCCTAGCCACTGGTGGTGACCGCGTCCTGCTCAGCCTGGGCGCCGTTGACGCGCTCTGCAGCCCGCTCCTGGGCTCGGCGTACATCTCGGGCCCTCCTGCGCCTTGTGTATGTACGACCGAACATGACAGTTTCAGGAGTCAAGGTTTCCGCAATTACGGACGCTTACTCCTGAGCAAAGGGCTAGGCTAAAGAGCAGCTTCATCCAGTTCGACGACCATAGTTTTTGCGAGTGGATGCGCAGCCTCAAATTGGTTCCGCCAGAACCAAGCTAACACAAGTATTCTGAGCAGTACATTTTCGAACGGTGGATAGCAACAGAAGATATGGCGTGGCATCTGATAGAGTTTTGCCCAAACGATAGCTGAGATCTTTATGAGCCAAATTGTGGCATCGCCAGACATGCCTGAGCTGATCACACATTGGTTTGGTGAACAGCCATTTAGGTGCGGTGGAATTGTATGATTTTGCATAATTCTTTTCTGTCTTCTCCTTTTGACCCTGATGTGGTGAGTAATTTCATAAACAATGCCTTGTCAATTGTCATACAGGCGGAGAAATTTACACAATAAGATTTTCGCAGATGTTACATGTATACAAACTTTTTTTTGCAGATGGTCTCATTATATATTATTTGAAATTCATTCATTTCTCAGGGGAAGCCACAGCCTTTTCCTAGGAGGATCAAAGCCTATGCAGTATAACTCTGCCATTAGTGTTTACATGCTAGACCAATTCCATTCTACCCAGATGAGAGGCTTTGGAGAAAAAAATCCATTCTGTTTCCCCTTTTGAAACGAGGGGCAGTTTTGCTTGGTCCATTCATCCACTTTTAGGAACGAGCACTTGGTCTTAAACTGAATATGGGCTCCGTCGACGGCCCACCCAGTTGCTTTATCCATCGTCTCCTTCACCTCCATCCACACTCCACAGCCACGCCACAGCCGTTGCCCACCACCACCCAGAGCACGCGGCGGCTTGTCGCCGTGCGCGCCGGCACCACCACCACACGAGGCGCTGGAGGAAGCCATCAAGCGCACGCGCACGCCCATGGCCATGGCGCCTCACGCCTCGGCGGCCACCGCAGCCGCTACCCCTGCCCTGCGCTTTCCCCACACTTTGTCCGCCACGGGCCTCTCCTCGTCGCCTCTCGCTGGGGGCTGCGGCGGCTGCCGGGCTCGGTTCCGCCCCAGCCGGCGCGGCCCGGGTATGCAGGGGCGGCGAGAAGGTGGCTCTCACGTGGTGCGCGTGGGGGGCCTGCTGGGCAGCGTATTCGGCGGGGTTGGCCGCGACGACGGGGAGGCCACGCGGAAGAAGTACGCCGACACCGTGGCGCGCATCAACTCCATGGAGCCCGAGGTCTCCGCGCTCTCGGACGCCGACTTGCGCGCACGCACCGCCGCGCTCCAGGACCGTGCTCGCTCCGGCGAATCCCTGGATTCCCTTCTCCCCGTACGTACCCAAATATAACGGGCACTCGTTTGCTTTCAGTACAATGTGTCGAACGTCGAATCTAAAATGGACTTTACTAGTGACTACACTAAGGTGTTACAGTCTGAGATCATGATGATAATGTTTAAGGAAGAACTAGGAAAACCATAGCTTTCTATTTAACTAAAAGCAACATTTTAATTTGATTATCTGAGTGACTAGAGTATATTACTATCGAAACAACTTCACCTTCAATTTATTCTCGGACCAGATTGTAGATAATAGAAACAAGGCTGTAGACATTCCGTTTTTGCATTTGGATAATGCTTAACATGTATAATTTTGGAGCTTCATCTGAGAAGAATCAATTCACTGTCCAGAGTGTATGTGCAATTAGTGAACCAAGCATGAATTGAAATCCTTCATCAAAATTATGAAAGAAATCTATGATATACCAAGAGATAAATAAATAGACCAACTCATTGTTCCTTTTCATTAGCCACTTTAACATGATCTAAGATATGTTAAATCATGACTCCTGTCGAATGATATCTCAACTTCTCAATGTGGAATCTTTGTCATCATTTGTGCAGGAAGCATTTGCTGTTGTGAGGGAGGCTTCCAAGAGAGTTCTAGGCCTCCATCCCTTTGATGTGCAGTTGATTGGTGGCATGGTTCTGCACAAGGGGGAGATTGCAGAAATGAAGACTGGAGAGGGGAAGACTCTTGTGGCCATTCTGCCAGCATACTTAAATGCTTTGAGTGGGAAAGGAGTGCATGTTGTCACTGTAAATGATTATCTTGCAAGACGTGATTGTGAGTGGGTTGGTCAAGTTCCCCGATTTCTAGGACTGCAGGTTGGCTTAATTCAACGTATGTCATCACATCACATTATTGATTCCTGTTGGCTGTGCCGTCTCCAGTTGCGCATATTCTTCAGTTTCCACGTTAATATTGAAAATATTAATTGGCCCCTTATTTACCAATTGAAGCTCTAGCACCTGCACTTGAATGATTCATGAAAGTACTGATATGTATCTGAAAATAATGTTACATAAGCCTAAGAGGATGGCTTGCTGAACTACTGAACCATGAATAAACTGGCAGCTCCTACTATGAATGTTTAGCTGGGCCATTACCATTCTGAGTTATAGCATATGCTTCAATGCCTTATCACGCCGCAGCTTCGTGTGTCCTACAATCCTAGCCCAACTAGCATTTTGATTATTTTTCTTTGTGCAGGCATTATTTATAGGTTCTGTTTCTCTGTTGCTAGTGATAGTTTGTTGAACAGAGTTTTTATTTTGACAGAGAACATGACACCTGAGCAAAGGAGGGAAAATTACTCATGCGATATTACTTATGTCACAAACAGTGAGCTTGGTTTTGATTATCTAAGAGATAACCTTGCAATGGTATGCATTTCTTATGTTGGAAATACTTTGTTATTAGTTACTCCCTCCGTTCCAAATTGTAAGTCGTTCTGGCTTTTCTATATACATCATGTCTAGATACATAGTAAAAATTATGAATCTAGAAAAGCCAGAACGTCTTATAATTTGGAACGGAGGGAGTAATATCCAAGTGTTATTATCCTCATGGATCATTGCATCTCCTGCAATTGTCTTCATTATTGCAGACTGTAGACGAACTTGTTTTGAGGAACTTCAATTACTGTGTGATAGATGAAGTTGATTCAATCCTTATTGATGAAGCAAGAACACCTCTTATAATATCAGGCCTAGCTGAAAAGCCAAGCGACCGGTATTACAAAGCAGCAAAAATAGCTGAAGCTTTTGAGCGAGACATTCATTACACGGTGAGCAATAAGCTTCTGTATGGATATTTGATCTGTTATTATGGGTTGATTATACAATAAAGTATGCCCTCACGCTCAATGTATTCTAGCCTCCTGATTTCTGAAACTTTTATTCGCCCTTCCGTTTTGAGATAAAAAATTACATCTCAAATATTCTATTACCATTTTCTAGAAATATAAAACATATAGTAGTACTTATATGTGTCTATCACCTAGCCATAATTTTGTTTATTTGTTTCTTCAATTAACTTAATATAAATTGCCATCTAAAAATGACTATTTCTTCAGGTGGATGAAAAGCAAAGAAATGTTTTACTTACAGAAGAAGGTTATGCTGATGCTGAAGAAATACTGGACATAAATGATCTATATGATCCTCGTGAACAGTGGGCTTCATATGTTCTAAATGCAATCAAGGCTAAGGAGCTCTTCCTTAAAGATGTCAATTACATTGTTCGTAGCAAGGAAGTGCTTATTGTAGATGAGTTTACTGGGAGAGTTATGCCGGTGAGTATATTTTATCATTATTCTCAGTAGCACAAGACATGTTACTGTCCATAGGATCTAAAATCCTAAAACAGTTAGTACATACCTTTGCCTTCTAGTAAATGGATGACACTATGCTCAGTGATACATGCAAGGTAATAGTTTTCTGGTTGGTTTTTATGGCAAACCTTGACTTGTATACTTGAACTAATATTACATCATGCAAGTGCATTCTGACCAAGGTTCACACATACCAAGTTTGTGCATAGGCATATGTGTAACAGCAAACTTGCATTTCATAAATGTTAACATTCATACACGGTATATGAACATAAGAAGGAATGAAAGTAAGAGGGGGAGAGGCACATGATGAATTTTTAAATGCCATCCCGTTGTATGCCCTGGATGCCAGGGCTTTTTTGTCCACATCATTTTTTGTAGCATGAAGACAGATGTTTGAGTAGGAATCTCATTATTCTAGTTTTCACATTTGAGGTTTTGATGCTTTTGGCAGGGCAGGCGATGGAGTGATGGTCTCCATCAAGCAATTGAAGCAAAAGAAGGTGTAACTATACAAAATGAAACCATAACACTCGCATCAATAAGTTACCAAAACTTCTTTCTTCAGGCAAGTGCCAAACTGTTCTGTCTGGAGCTTCTGATGCTTAAAAATTACTGGAAAACAGACTAATCCACGAACAAAACCATTTCTGGTGCTTTTTAATGCTAATGGCCAGTAATCCTTGTTGAGCATTTTGGTTGATAGTGGTAGAGACTAAGACTGTCTCCAACACCGCGCCCCAAACGCATATTTGCATCCCAGACGGTGTTTTGGGTACCGGAATCGGCCTCCAACCGATGACCAATACGCAAGACGCAATTTGCGTTCGAGGAGAGAGGAGACGCAAAGTTGCGTCGTCCTCCACGCGCGACGCAAACTGTCGGCGCTGCCCCTCTCTCGCTCTCGTCTCTCCCGCGCGCCGGAGGCGGAGGCGGAGCTGGGGCCCGAGCCCGCGCCGGAGGCGGAGAAGCTGCGCGACGGGGAGCCGCGGCGGGCCCCCTCCGGCGCGGCGCGGGGAAGAGGAGAGGGTCGCGGGGGAGGGAGGCCGTGCAGAGGAGGGAGCTCGCCGGCGGGGCGGGAGGCGGGCGGAGCTCGGCGGGGAGGGAGGCCAGGGCGCTCGACCGGCATGGATTCGGTCGCCTGCTCGTCGATCTGGCCGCCTGCTCGTTGGATCTGCTCGTCGCGCGGAGCTTGAGGTAGAGAGGAGAGAGGGCGCGCTGGATCCGTCGGACGGAGAGAGGAGGGAGCGCCGGCCGGCCTCCTAGGGTTGCCGCGCCGCCGGATCTAGAGCTCGCGCCTCCCCCTCGAAGCGTCCGCCGTCCCGGTCGGACCCGCCCGCCGCGGCCGCGCCAGCCGCTGCAGACGCCGCGCGCGCGGCGCAAGCGGACGGAGGAGTTGGAGGAAGATGATGCGGAGATGGAGGCAGGTGCCTTCGGGCCGGGGCTCGGGAAGAGTGGGGGCGGCGTGGAGGGGGACAGGAGCCGCATCGCCATGGATGCGGGCCGCGCTCGGCCTTCGGACTTTTGCGTCCGTTGTTGGAAACGTGAAGTTTTGCGTCCTGGAGCTTTTCCCTGTGCGTGACCTATAAGAAGGAATGCGTCTCGTATTTGCCTTCGGCCTGTTGGAGACAGTCTAATAAATAAATAAATGGCTCAGTGTGCTGGATGAACAGCTTCCTCCTAATCTTATCTTTGTTTTATGTTCAATCTATTACTTTGTCAAGAAATTAATAGACTTTTGTGACAGTTCCCCAAACTCTGTGGGATGACTGGAACTGCAGCTACAGAGACCCAAGAGTTTGAGAGCATATATAAACTTAAAGTTACTGTTGTTCCAACAAACAAGCCAATGATACGGAAGGTACTTGCACTCTGTTGTAATGATTGTTCAATATGTTGTAACTCTGAAAGATCTGTCCTTCTATTTCATCCCATTTTCTGCCAAAAATTTGATTTTGCTTCTTTCTTTGCAGGATGACTCAGATGTTGTTTTTAGAGCAACAAATGGAAAATGGCGTGCTGTTCTTGTGGAGATGTCAAGGATGAATAAAGTTGGCCGTCCTGTGCTTGTTGGTACCACCAGTGTTGAGCAAAGCGAATCTTTATCAGAGCAATTGCGTGAAGCTGGGATTCCTCACGAGGTATTCCTGTTAGTTTTTCATTAACAATAGTAGATCCTCCTTTTTTCAGTCAGGAATGCTGTTATTTATGCTCAGTGCTCACAGAGAAAAAATGTTGATACTTGAACAAAATCCTGTTCTAGTGTGAAATGATTATATATATCATTCTGTAGATATTTCTATGTACATAAGGTGACAACAGAATTCACTCAGTAACATTTGTCTCCTGAACAAATTTCTTTCTTGACTCCACAGATAGTTTATTACCATTCAGCGCGCTACTCTGTTGTGCACTTGTAACTATGTAATTTATTTTATGTTTTTGAATAAATTAGTTTTCATTCTTTCACAGAAAGGAACCAATGAAAATAGTGGAAACATTAACTATTTGAAAGGAATCTAGCTGTGACCTACTAACATGTTTGAAAGTTGCAACATCAGTTTCTCATTTACTGAGGTGCCAGAACTGTCTAAATTTTATTGTAATTTCTATTGAAGGTCCTGAATGCTAAGCCAGAGAATGTTGAGAGGGAGGCAGAGATCGTAGCTCAGAGTGGACGCCTTGGTGCTGTGACAATTGCCACCAATATGGCGGGACGTGGAACTGATATTATCCTTGGTGGCAATGCAGAATTCATGGCCAGGTTGAAGTTGCGTGAGATCCTTATGCCAAGGTACTAATTTTCCTTATCAGAATTCCAAATAATATTGTACAGTGCTTTGAATACATGGTTGTAGTTTTGGGGAAAAAATGCATGTTTGATTCATTAACTGGTTCTATTGACGCCTCTCTATGGGGCACAGTTGTATCTGAACAGGTTCTAACTTCAACCCCACATGCACCCCCCCCCCCCTCTCCCGCTCCATGTCCATGCACATACTCAGACCTACACACTACACAGTAAGCACAGTTAGGATTGTGTACCTAGTGATAATGACAGAGCTACAAGGCTTCTCAGGCGAACGGGATGTCACATTCCCCTTGTTCTTCACACATGAGAGGCAATATATAAAATTTATTTGTGGACAATCCCTGGTCAGACGCTCAAGCCTGGGGATCAAATGCTCACCGGCAGGATCGTCAAAGCTTGGGAGGCTTGAATGCTCATGGCAATGAATGTTGAGCCTGGGACGCTCATTGGCGGGATCGAAATGACTGATTCTACCACTGTGACTTCTCATTAGCTGCTGCTTCATGTGCCTGTTATTTGCAATGAATTAGAAGTTAAATTAGAGTCGATCAACATGAACAGCAGTTTGGCACTGTATCCACAGTGCTGTATCAACAATCCTAAAATGTTAGTTTATGCCTATTTCTAAATAAGTTAGTTTTTACATTTTTTGATAAAGATTGAGTTGTGATCTACATCCTTGATCTTAGAGATAGTGTTTTTTAAGAGGAGGGGGTTGTTTCTCTTTTAATCAAGCATTCAACACGATTACTACAGAATCTTCATTATCTTGAATAAATAATAAGTTGCAATGGAACTACCTTGTCTTTGCAACAGACTTCTATGGGATGCCTACGATTCCGAAAGAGACCTTTTTCCCCCAGTGTATGTGTAGCGTAAATGTTGTTCAACTGTTCTTATAGGCTCTTTTGATTCTAAATGCTGCAGAGTCGTCAATCCAATAGATGGCGTTATTGTATCCAAAAAGCAGATGCCACCAAGAAAGACATGGAAGGTACATAACTGGCTATAGGTTCAGTAGTGATTTGATCAACAACTGATGGTCTCAAGATTCTGGGACTATTGCATCGGGTAGATGTATTATGATTTAACTTGTGATATAAGTTTATCTAATGACTTACTTGCACTTATTTTGCCTTCAGACGAACGAAAGCTTGTTCCCATGTGAACTTTCAAAAGAAACATTATCATCCGTCAAAGATACAGTTGAAATGGCTGTCAAAGAATGGGGAGAGAAATCATTAACTGAACTGGAAGCAGAAGAGCGGTTGTCCTACTCATGTGAGAAGGTAGGCCTATTTCAGCAACCATGAGAGGTCAAATATTAGTTTTCGTGTGGGTGAGACAACTATGCAACTTCAGGGACTACTGGTGTTCCACATTTCAGACTGAATATTCTGTTAAAAGTTTTTGTGTCTTGAGGACTTAATTATGTTTCTTTATATTTCAGGGACCAACACGTGATGAAGTAATAGCAAATTTGAGAAATGCATTTATGAAGATAGCAGACGAATATAAAATTTACACTGAGGAGGAAAAGAAGAAGGTTATATTGCAAATAAAAGAAACATTGATAGCTCTATCTGTTGCTATTCAGTGTAGCGTAGTGTTCACGTGATCAATTTTATTCAGGTCATTACAGCAGGTGGGCTTCACGTAGTAGGGACAGAGCGCCATGAATCGCGCAGAATTGACAATCAGGTAATATACTATTGAAGATATTGCTGTTAATATGCAGGGGTGAACCCAAGATATCTTTTCTGCTTGCTGCATAGGTGAATTGCTAGTTTGTCCCAAACAAAATTTAACAAGTCTAGCCTTAGAAAAATGTTGTTTCATGCCAAAGTCCATAATACATGTTCTGAGTGTCTGCATTCTGCAAAGCCAACAGTGAAGTGGTTAGCACATATCTTTTTTACTTTGATCATAACTGAATTGGTTTCTCTTTCTGGTTTAGCTCCGTGGTCGAAGTGGAAGGCAAGGGGATCCTGGAAGCTCTCGCTTCTTTCTTAGTCTCGAGGATAATATTTTCCGGATCTTTGGAGGTGACAGGATACAGGTTTGAGAAATCCAGTGGCTTCACTGCATAAAAATAATGTATTGCATAAAAAAAACACCTCCTTTTGGTATCTCCATCATTTTAATGATATGACTTATTGATTGTACCTTACTAAATGACTCTGACAAAGTTGGATGTCGATCTCAAGTTGCATGTCATATTTTGAAATAATGGCAGATACTTTGTTCATAACAGTGAAATAGAATGTACTCAAATCCATTCACTGCCAATTTGTTTTGAAGGACAGAATGTGATGCTCTCATCATTGCTAGTAGTGGGTCCATGTGTGTTGAACTATATCCTGCTACTAGTTAAGTAGCTATAAACTAGAAATTTTTTGTAGCAAAAATGTTGAGAACCAAGTGGTAGTTTGGTTGGTAGAGCTTCCAAGAAAAGCCACCCACCTGGGATCAAACCCAGGTGCTTGCAGGTTGTTTGGGTACATCCCTAAAGGGTTGGTACTCCCCTCTCTTAAGACAAAGCTAGGGATGTCTTCTCCCTGTGGTGGAGTTCTATTTTTTTTAGCAAAATACATGTTATAATTACTGTAATACACTTGTGTAAGCATTCCTGCAGGAGTGTGTCTGGCAATTACTGCATCACTTGTACTAATAGCTGCTGCTCTCAGATATATGCTTGCATGACTTATCCATATGATTTCAATATTTCTTGACAGACAAGAATAAATCTGTAACTAATAATAGCGTTTGGTTTCTCATCTAGGGTCTGATGCAAGCATTCCGAGTTGAAGATCTTCCTATCGAATCGAAAATGCTAACAAGGGCTCTAGATGAAGCACAACGAAAAGTTGAGAACTACTTTTTTGACATCAGGAAGCAGTTGTTTGAGTATGATGAGGTATTGAATAGCCAGAGAGATCGTGTATATGCAGAAAGAAGACGTGCTCTTGCATCTGACAGTCTTGAGTCACTTATTGTGGAATACGCTGAATTGACAATGGACGACATATTAGAGGTTGGTTATGGTGACCATGTGATAGCTGCACTTAAATATTGAAACTGAACACAGAGCTTTATATTTCTCTGAAGTCCTGATGCTATAATATTCTTCTCTCATTGGCAGGCTAACATAGGCCCTGATACTCCAAAGGAAAATTGGGACCTGAGCAAACTTATAGCTAAGCTGCAACAGTAAGTTTTCAGATAGTACATATACATGTGTATTTGGTCAATTGGATTTCTGGGGATCTGTTGAGTGTTGACTGATGTACTGTCACCAAAATTGTAATGTTTTCGTTTCTTTTCTACTAGGTATTGCTATCTGTTGGATGACTTGACACCAGAATTGTTGGAGGGCAAAAGCTCAAGCTATGAGGATTTGCGGGAGTACCTCCGTAAGCGAGGGCGTGAAGCTTACTTCCAAAAAACTGTTAGTTATTTCTCCTTTTTCTTTCATGGATAGCGTTTTTTTCACATGGGTCAAAGATTATAAAAAGTTTAATGCAAATATTTCTTGCACGCAAAGAGAGAGTCTGAGTAGGTAGTTCACACTTTAAGAACTACACCTATCAATTTAACTGTTGTTCTTAGTAGGGGTAAAACCAAATCCTGAGCCGAAGGCAAAGCTAGATCTTAGCAGTAGATCATCTTGACAGGAGCTATGAGCCTATGACGAAAAAAGGTCTTCTGATTCTGAAATTATATTCTTGTTTATAACAAGTGCATCTTATGAGCAAGACAAGTCTGAATATAATAATTCATACCTTTTTGTTAAAATGAAGAGCAGCCCATTCATGTGTTTGGATGTCCAAATGCATTTCCCCGTTTTAAACCGTGTAAAACTAATCAGGTAAAATATCAGAAGCTATTTTCTTCACAATGGTATTTCAGACTAGAACAGTACAATAGCTTTGATAAATTATTAACCAAATATCAGGAGCACCATCCAAATAGTGAGATGTAGTTCCTCATTTCATAACTTCTATACTTGTATGCCAGGAAATTGTGGAGAAGCAAGCTCCAGGATTGATGAAGGAAGCTGAGCGGTTTCTAATTCTCAGCAATATTGATAGGCTGTGGAAAGAACACCTGCAGGCACTAAAGTTTGTCCAACAAGCTGTTGGTTTAAGGGGTTATGCCCAACGAGATCCCCTTATTGAGTATAAACTTGAGGGATATAATCTTTTCTTAGACATGATGGCTCAAATCAGGAGGAATGTTATTTATTCTGTATATCAGGTAAGTCCATCCACCTGTCCTAAAAAATGTCTTCTTTTATGCTACATTTTCGATTTAAGTAACATTTGAACCACTGAGTTTGGAGTGATGTAATTGTGACTTCCTTGCAAGATAAGTTTTATGTTTAGTCCGCAGACAGTTCCCCTGTGTAGTTCATGCATGATGCAAAGACTTGGTATGCATATAGTTGGATAAACTGTACCTACATAATAAATAATTTGAGGTTTTAGCTATCAGACTATCTTGCACTGTGAACTGGTGAAGCATCATGATCCTGGCTCCTGAGTGGTCACATGCTTCTTCACACAAGCATCAGACATATCTTAGTTTTCAAATGCATATCTTTGGTATTACTTAGCACTGATATCATCAGTTCTGACTCATCAATATCCTTTAGTTCAGATATATTCTGATTCTTCTATAATTATCCTTTCTTTTTCAACAGTTCAAACCAGTAGTGAAGAACCAAGAAGAGGAAGCATCCCAAAAGAAGATGTCAAAAAAGAAACTGGACAAAGGAGCTAACAAACTTGGTGCTGCCCAAGCTGCGTCATGATCTTCCTGTGAGAAATGTTGCTGGTGCTTTTAGTTGCAGTGGCTGCAGTCTCCACATGTATAAAGATGGTTGATACGTATGAGAAATGCACTTCATGACATGAGTCAGCTTGATTTTGGTAGCTTCATACTGGAACACAGCTTTCCATTCATACTGGAACACAGCTTTCCAGTGTATTTTTTGCTTGAGCTATTGATGTTATCAGCAGATCCTGTGCCTCAGCATATTGTTGTTCATAGAATGGATAGCATCAATTTTACTAGTTGTACAGAAATAAGACATGCTCAATGAAAGAGTTTTTGCTCCTCAACCCACAGTTTTGTATAATAATGCAATTCATTCTTATCAGCACTGATTACTGAAACCTCCATTCTTCAGCTTTTGCAGGATTATCATGAGCAGGTACGCAGAATTCTGAATGTAGTAGTAGAAAATATTTGCTGGTAGTGCCAACTGACTAGAATGATAGATAGCTATTCCATTGAATGGATCACATGCTAAACAACAGCTGTAGAATCACTCCATGATCTACTGAAACATGTCATTACCATTTATTTCTTGTGTTAGTGTTCCTTTAATGGCTGTATTCAAATGCATTCCCAAATCAATATGATGTACACTCTGTTGAGAAAGCGTATGCTGTTCACTATGCGGACTAAATAAAATTGTGGATCTTCTCATATGATATGGTGGCAAGTGTTGTCGCAGGGATAGCGGCAGTCGATTGCCTTCACTTCAGCCCGATCGAAGTACCAGTCACCAACGGATTTCGCAATCCCCTGCGCAGGAACATCAAAATAAATGAATATCCATCAATTTCATCACGGAAAGAGATAGTCTCTTTTGTATCTAGCCAGTATATGGTGTATTGTCAACTGTTACCTTGTTTTGAATGGTGGGGGAGCCACCTGGTTTGGTGTTCCAGGTGCCAGCTGCTCGGACTGGCAGTGCGCGAAGCAGGAGCTTATGAAGAGCCCGGTGCTCCTGGAACCGGAGAAGCCTTTGATGGATGCTACCATCTGGTCCCTGAAATCTGCACTTGTACGAATATGCTTTAGGGCCGTTTGGCACGGCTTCCGCCGGCTCGGGCTTCTCGACACCAACGCTGTAGTGCACTGTTTATAGAAGCGGTTTTCCTCTCTCCTCCTCTCCCTCTCTCACTGACACTCGCGCTGTTCATCGCAGCCGGAGAAGCTCGTTGTCCTGGCTTCTCCGGCTTCATCTCCCGCATGCTATAGTACCCGCACTACAGTGAGACAGAAAAGGTGGAGAGAGAAAACCGGCTCATCGCTACAGTGATCAGCGTAGCTTTTATCAGGCGGATTTGTCATTTCCCGATGAAGATGAACTTACATATGGATTCCCAGTTTAACCTTGCAGGAAGCTCATCTGGGATGCACTGCAGGCCGTACGGTTGGACTTGCAGGCTCGCCAAGCGCCGCTTGGGTCAGCTCTGTCTGGCGCCAAGCTGAGCACAATCTGACGGACCAATGCACGTAAGTATATGTCATCGGTAATACATTTGCGAGTTAGGGTGTCTGCTCCATACAGCGAAACTGATGTTCACCTGAATGAAGTCGTATGCGGCATTTAGCAGGAACAGTGGCATCTTAATTCCAAAGTCTGTTCGTTTTGGCTGGATTGGCTTATAAGCTATCGACTGAAAGTACTGCTGGCTAGTTTGGTGTGAAAGAAAAACACTGTTGGTTGGCTGATAAACCAAATCAGATACAGAGCAGTTACAGCCTGCCGAACAGGCTGATATATATATGTTTTGTGGGAAGAAGCACTGCACCCACACGGGATTGAGATTTCAGAGCAACCATCCCTTCCTCAGAAGCAAGACTGAAATAGGAGAGGAGCGAGAGCACGCACCGAGGTGGCGTCGAAGCGGGCGGTGCAAGCCGGCGGCAGGTTCTGAGCTATCCCTTGCACGACCACGATGTCGCCGAAGTGGGATCTCAGGCTGCGCCGCCCGGAGACATCCACGCTGCATGCGACAGTACAGTCATGGCAAAAACCTGTTGTCAGTTCAGTTACCTCTAGTGTGATGCAGAGCGCGCAAGGAAGGTTAATTTAAACCACAGGTACCTACGCGTCTAGGTAGAGGCCGCCGTCGGAGATGCACTTGACGACGGTGGTGCCGGACGGGAAGAAGGCGCGCAACTGGTCGCAGTGCAGTATCACCGCCAGACCCCCCGAGGAGCAGCCGGTGAGCAGCACCTGATCCATCCATCAGCAATTCAGCGTGAGCTGAGTGAAGAAGATAGAGTGAACAAGACACGTATACGCACGCACTTCTTTTTTCAACTCGGCGTGCCCAGCGCCCGGACAGACGTCCGGACGGACGACCCGCGCAGCCTGCCCCCGTCCGTCTTTGCTCCACCCTGTCCGACTCCGACACGCCCCACGGGCGCACTCCGCTCCGTCTCTACGCATGCCAGTCCTTCCCCTGACCCCCTTGTCTCTCTCCATCCGGACAGCACTCGGGAGCTGGGATGAGCGACCGAGGACAAGCACGCCCCCAGCGCACCCTGACCGCAGCACCCCCGTCCGCCGGCCCCCGGCCGAACAATATAAAACACTTGTAACATGAAAAAAAAATTGAATGCAACATACGTCTCAAAACAAATGAATCATTTGGAACATGCACTTGCAACATATGTAGAAAACACATGAAACATCTAAATAAAACACTTGCAACTTGCAACATGAAACCACTTGCTGCAACATAAGACTGAAACAGCTGAAATATTTGGAACATATTATTGCAACATATGTGTGAAACATATACAACATCCAGATAAATACCGATTGCAACATATGTCTAGAAAACATATGAAACATTTTGAACAAACACTTGCATCATGCCTCTGAAACACTTGCAACATATGCAACATCCCCCTATTTGCTTTTGCAATATCAAGACGAAATAATTGCAACATACATCTGAAACGTCTAAAACACTTGAAACATACATATGCAACATAGGGGAGGAGAAGGCCGGGGCAGGTCGATTTCGGCTGTCGGTCGAGGAAGACTTTAGGGGCCACGGCACGTGCGCCCTAACGGCCATGGCGGGGTCAGCAGTGCGCGACGGCGATGGAGACGGACGGACGACGAGGGAGCGAGCTGCACAGGTGACTGGGATGGGGCGCGGGGCGGTGGGAGTAAGGGCACAGTGAGGCAGCCGACGAGCGCGCGGTGGTGGAAGGCGGCATGGCAGGGCGGAGTTGGGTGGGCGGATGTGCGTCCATGCACTCACGCGAGACGGGCGGTTCAGCGGATAAACACGGTGGATTTTTTTTTTGAGAGAGTGCAGATGAGTGAACGAGGATGAACCGCATCTAGACGGGACGGCCGTGGCCAAACATTATCGTTTTTTCAACGTAGTCGGTTGCCAGTTGGTAGTTGGTAAACTGTGAGAAGGTGCCGGATGGAGAGGCCATCCCAATGGAGAGGAGGTGCCGGATGACCGCGTTCCAGATGCGCTGCCCTCGGAAATAAATCCCAGTGTCCTACGAGTTAACTCAAGCAAAACGTATCCAACTAGTTAAAGTCATAGTTAGAAGATGGCAAAATATAATGTCTGCAAACTACTACACTGATTGAAAAATACATATCACAAACTAAACTTTTAAGAGTCATTTTCACAAAGCTATGCTTCTACTGAGTAGTAATATTATTTGGGTATGTGTATGCATGCACCTTATCAAAGGCCTCGCCGGCAAAAGATCCACCGTCGCAGTAGCGAATCTTTACCCGGTTCCAATTGTAGAAATCTGCACATATATATCAGCATCGGAGATGATGAGATGAGTAATGGACATGGACGGATAAGCTAATCTAAAATGAGGTGTGGAACTGTGGATAGACAGGCAGACCAGGATTGACGGCGGGGCTGCTGCTCATGATGCCGGTGAAGGGGATCTCTTTATCCATGTGGTCCGACGAGCCACGCCCGGAGCTCTTGGTAAGCTGACATGTCTTGGCGCTGTTGCACCATGCGCTTCCCTGCATGCGTCCATGCCCGGCATATGTATAATATAAGCTTATTACTCCGTTAGTGTACTTATGAAGAAAATAAAGTAGTACAACTTTGAAAATGTAAATAAAAATAGGAACAACATGAATCATATATACAGAAGTTTAAGCAATTAAGTGCGAAGATAAAAAGTGGGGAGTTCTTACATTAGTACTAATGAATACTAATAAGAACAAGATGAATCATTTATAGAAGTTTAAGCTTACGTATGTGCTTTAACATTTCAAATGGTAGTATATATACTAATTGACCTCTAAGTTCACAATCCAGCTTTTGCTGCCCGCTCCGGAGCCAGGATCCAAGTTGTAAGCAGGTGGCGTTCCATCCATGCACACTGCGATAATATATATTATATACTACCAGTATATCTTTAGTTCTTATAAAATGCTCTTTGTTAATTTGGGCAAAGCTGACAGTGCCATGTGACATTTCCAACATTAGTTTTACAATGCATAGTTCATCAGTTACCAAGCACCAACTATATGTGTGCCCATGATGTCCACACGATACATATAGCGACAAATATAGAGAATATCAAGAACAATGCTTTATTATATATCGAACATAATTACAATAGAACTTACAACTATTACGGAAGCATAGCGGAAATTATTCTTAATCTTTTCTTTGGGACTCCATACTCCATAGGGACGGTTGACTTGGAGAGCGCTCGCCTCGTACTCTTGTAACATCTCAGGGAACTCCTCCTTTGAATCACCGTCTGGTACCTATCCGGGATTTTTGTTGATTGTAAAGCAAGTGTGAGCGCACCATACTCAACAAGTATAACATGAGGGGATGCAAGGCTCAAAAGGCTAGACACGGTTGAACTTCGGTAAGCACTTTTAGTTGGTTATATTTTATTTGTTAAACCTGTGTCGCTAGGTTATGCTTAAGCTCCCAAGGTAATAGTATATTTAACATCAAGGTTGATCATATCCCAAACCATCCATAGAACCATCTATCTCGAAAAGAATCCAGGCCGCTCATATCTGTGAGCACGACTGATATATCAGTTTTATACTCTGCAGAGTTTGTACACTTTCACCACGAGTCGTGATTGCCCTGTGCCCGAGGTGATCAGCCTCTTGACTCACTTCCAAGATAAGTCAGCAGGGATCACTACGAAGCTTTTCACCAGTCGTTCTAATAAATAGCAGCCGCTAAGGTTTCAGCCGTCTAGCCGTATGCAGCCCTCCTCCAGGAGTGGCACTCATGGTCGCAGCATGGTACACACCCTGGCAGGAAAAGAAACATATCAACTAGTGTCCCCCTCCTGTCCTTTCGGTAAGCTACTGACGAACTAGAACAAATCAAGATACTAGACTAAGACCAGAGCCATGTAGTTCTCGTGGCTGTACGGTAAGTCCTGGGTTCCCACTTTAGGATTTAGTCCTTACGGAGGGCAGACTAGAGCTCCCAAAAGGCCCAATGCTCTAACCCCCTTCTGTCCATGTTGCTAAAAAGCATTTTTTAATACCATGTTACTTATATATTTAATTGTATTCTTTAGTCAATATTAGTTGAAGCAAACTGACCATACTACCCACATGCAAAACCCAAGGTAAATCAAGGACCGGAAAATCAATATCAAGGTAAATAGGCTCCAGACGGTTCATTAACATATGCATATGAATTGAGATTGCATTAAAGTGAATAGGTAACAAGGAGCCTCATATTATATTTGCCTTAACTTGCTTTTCCTCCAAAGCAATACGCTTAAAAGCCTTTAGTATTCAAATTTCAATCTTCCGCTTCCAATTCTCAGCTCCTAGTTTTCAGAGAACAGCTTCTTAATCACCACGTAAACCTCACCGATTGACTGAACCATATATCACCACATAAACATCCATACATGGCATATAAACAAGAATATATGAGAACAGTACACCAACCAATAAAATAAGCAAAATGACGTATCGCTACAAACACATAAACGCAAAAGACATGCTATATGCGATTCAACGAAAAAGCAACTATCGAAGGATTTTTAGTGCAACGAAAAATAAAACCTATCCATTTAACTTATTTTAACTGTAGAAACACATGTAGATATTTTCATTAATCAACTTGATTCATTGGTTAGGAAAGAGCGTAGTATAAAACCTATATTGACTTTATATTCCGAAAACGATGCAAGTGATAGTATTATTACAATTAACTTTTTAACTACCAAAACACATTTGAGTAACATGAGAACCACTAATGCCATTGCGTAGAACACGCCGATAACGAAACTATGGTATAAAAGAAACGACTACCAGAGTTCTATATTATAAAAGAAAAGCCTAAATGCTTGATTTATTTTAATTAAGAAAAACCATGTGAAGGTGTTATTAATTTGGATTAGTTAAAACATAATTTAATCCGAAGCCCGAGTTAAAACTACCCATGTTTTATTCCTAAACAATGTCATATAATTTAATCAAGTTAAGCTACATCTTTGCAAAGTAAAGTATATGTGAAAGCAACTAAACGAGTTTATCACATATGCAATGTGTTTAACGAATCAAATTTTATTTATAAATATCTCGATACCATTTATGTTAATTCAATTTTAACTTGCAAATACAAGTTGACATTAATTAACAAGTAATTATAAAAGGTGGATACTGTCCTAGGTTGCTGTTATTTAGAAACAAGTTTACGTAATCATTAATCAAATTAATATTTAAATTATAATATTATGAACATGTGACATGATAAATGTTGGTACTAACGGTACCTTACATTGGCATGATTTCACACGACAAGATCGAAGTTAACCCTAAGTAGTTGCTTTTAATTAAAGCTATTGAATAAATATAAATTAAATTAATACATTATATTACAATTCAGAAGCATTTGTTATATTGGATGACGCTGCTAACACGTATCACACATTGCGATGAAACTCGCGTAATCGAATCGAAATCAAAAACCTAAATCGATTTTTCTTAAACAACGATTAATTAATTATAACACAATTAATATTTTAATAAAATAAATTCATAAACATGTGACATATAAACTACTAACTCTACTGCGTAGATCTCGACAAGTGGAATGAACTGAAACGGAGCTAAAACGATTAAACGGCGGAGATTAAAAGAAGCAGTGGCAATTTCATAAATATCATCATCTTCTACCTTGCTTCAGTACGTACGTGGCCATGGCAGCCATGGCAGGTTGCTGCTGCTGCTCGCGGAGGGGGGACTCGATGTGGGGCAGGGGCCTCGGCCACGGGGGTTGGTAGCCGCGCACGCGCGCCACAAGGCAGCAGCGGCGGCTGACCAGGCCGAACAGGCAGCAGGCGGTGGCCATGCCTGCCGCTCGTGCGCGGAGGACAGGGGGCCAGGGCGCAATGCGCATGGGCCACGGGACGTGGGACAAGGCGGTGCAGGGCGCTCGGCCCAGGACGACCATGGGGTCGGGGCGCGGAACCTGAGAGGCCGGAGCTGCTGCAAACAAGAAGAAAGGGCTTCCATGGTGAGTTCACCAGAAAAAAAAGAAGGGACAGGGAAACAATGAAACGAGCACGGATTTGTGAAAAGGATAACAAGACGGTGTAGAGGAGATCGGGATCTACCTCTCAGCGGTGACGGTTTCCGCAGGGGACGCTAGAGATGGTCGGAAAAGCTCGCCGAAGGTTCGTCGGAATTCTATGTTTTCAAAACTTCGTCTTCCGATCTGCGAGGCTACAAGTGGCGGCTCGAAAAACGGGCTGTACTTCTGGAATCCTCACGTTGAGGGCTATATATATATATATAACTACTACCCTATAGCTAGCTACAAAATAACTTATTCTTTAGCCATTTTGAGTTACGATAATTACTATATTAATTTATGAGATTATAGTAACTCCTTACTAAGTGGTTTACTATAATGTTATGGTAAATATCTCCATGTATTATAGTAACCCAACTATCGTAAATATGTATTGACATTATCGTAAATTAGTATATAAAATTATCTAAAATGGAGGTGGCTACAGAATAACTTATTTTGTAGCTGGCTACTGAATATACTCTCCTATATATATACACACACACACACGTAGGGTTTGGAGATTTTGGAAACCAGAGATATTTTAGGAATTATTGATTTTTGGAATTAAAATAATTATAGAAAATCAGAATTACTATTTAGGCTCCGAAAAATATCTCTGAGCTCCGAAAAATACTAGAAAAATTCCTAGGGATAGATGTAAAGATAAGGAACATAACCAAAGTGGTTTTAGCTCCCGAAAAAGGCTTTTGGATTGATCGAGGAAAAAGACAAAGCTCTAAAAAATATGAATTTAATCTCGAAAAAGGTCGGAAAGATTCCTGAAAAGAGAGGCATGGTTCTAACGCGTCTTAAAACCTTTTCCAAGCCTTTGGATTTTGAAACCAAAGCATCTTATCTAACTTTTGTTTTTGCAAGTTTTCAAATTCTTTTTAAACCACTACTTGAAAATAATATTTTGAAGATTGAGATTTGAATTTATTTTCCAAACCACTCATTACAAAAGTACCAATGCAACGGCATGTATGCGTAAACATGTTGCTACCCTTATGTTGGATTTTAATTTAAAGAAAATTCTCTTTTACCTCTATTTTTATGAGCACAAAACAATTAACAGAAATCATTTTACTCTTTTTAGAAAGTAGCTAATTTTAGGGTGTTATAATTCTACCCCCTTAAGATGAATCTCGTTCTCGAGATTCAGAGAAGAAGAGCAAAGAAGAGAGGGATACTTCAACTTAAGATCTTCTTCACTTCCTTGAGCAACACCATCTTGATACTCACCTTGTGTTGTATGACAATTCATCACGTGGCTACTCTTGCAGATTCTTGTTCCATCTTATTCCAAGTCCGATCTTGTTGCTTCTCTTAATTTGTTCCAGTGAATCTTATTATCCATATGTTAAGCTTTCAAAAGATCTTGCTTAGCTTGAATCAGAACTTTGAATTCTATGGTTCATTTTTTATGCATTTTGGAATGTTTTACTTTTCAAAAGGAAGACTTTAAATCAAAACCGAACAATTTTTCTTTTTCAACTCCTTTTGAAATAGCTTTCAAAATATGTTTTATGTTTAGAACTCAAGAAAATATTTCAACCATGTTTTGAAACTCTTTTGAATAAATGTTTTTAAGGCTTTGAAATAACCCAACTATTTTCAAATCATTGGAAACTTAGGAAAACATACTAAGCTTTGTTTTTCAAACTCTTTTGAAAACTCGACTTTATAATCAAATCTTAGATAAAGAGCAAACAAATCAACTCAGGTTCTTTTGAAATCTGTTTCAAACAAGGGATTTTCAAGATTTTAGAAAACAAATGAAACATTCGAACTTCATTTTCAAATCGT